TTAATTAATTTTATTCTCATATGAGTATCAGCATTCTAAAATTTATTTAAAATAAAAATTTTCAATATATTTTAAATTCGTATTAATTTTTTTGTACGAAATATATAACATTAGGATTGATTTTTTTTTTTTAAATAATACATATATCGCCAAAAACTGTGATCGGAACCGTGCTAGAGTTGGTGTTTCAAGGATCGGTATAGGTTCAACATCTTAAAAATTTTAAATCACCGATTTCGTAAACCAAAATCAACGGTTCAATGAACTGGCAATGCCTAATAAAAAATTGCAACATAAATAGAAAGATGAACATTAAGGGAGAATTATGAGCTCACAATTGAAATACAAATAAAATGACAAACAATAAATCTCAGCCAAACATCTAAGCTAACAGAGAATTGGGACAGTTGATGCAAAATCAGCTAGGGTTTCATAACAAACAACTTTAAAAAAAGAGATGAAAAGAATAATGAGTAGTATGTGCAGAAAAGGACATCTAACACAAAGGATATTGTAATAAGAGTTAAATTACAAAATTACCCTGAAGTTTGCGACTTATTGCAAAATCTCTCTACTTTGACTTTTATAACCCAAACACTTTTAGTTTTGAAACTTATAAATATTGGCAACCCAAATTCAAAACGGACCTATGATTTTGAATAAATAATATATTTATGGGTCCCACTGGTTAGCCTTCGATAACTTAACCCAAGAAAGAAAAATGCATCGTTTTGATAACAAAATCCTAACCCTTAATCACTCCTAAAATAGATTCTCCATCGATCGATTGACACTGTAGTATCCATTCATCCATTTCATAAAATCGATCATGCCTCTTCTGTTTATCCCAAAATAGTTATATCCGTCTCGCTTTTTTCGAAGTTCTCTCCAATTTTTTTCTTCATTAAAGCTTTAATCTACTACCAATGCAAGAATAACATTGACTCTGGTTCTCTTTGCAATGACGAGGGAGAAGCGTCGTGATTAGTAAGCACTTACAACCAAAATTATAAATTTATTAAATGTTGAGTTTTCATTGATTATTAAATAGTGTTGGGAGAGTAGTGATTGTTTCAAAGATTAGGGCATGGTTTAAGAAATGTACTGATGTTAATTTATTTAATGTTTTTAGTTGATGATGCAATAAGTAAGGTTGATGAAAATTAAATAAGTCAAAATTTATACATTGCTTGGTTTGAACTTATGTCAATAGGGACCACTATGTAGGTTTCCAATGGAGGAGTGGGTCGAAGGTATGATAGGTGAAAAGAGCAAGCAAACTGAAAGAGTTAATTATGTTGGTGGGAAAGCTGTTGAAGCAATGGGACACGTAAACTGGTAGCATGAAATTTAAAGACCTCTATGATTAGATAAAAGAGTATAGATATGATGATTTAGTAAAAGTTGGATATTTCAAACCTAAAGTAAGATGGTTATCTTTGGAGTTTTCATCAAATGATGAGGTAAAGTTAATATTTGAGAGAGGGAAGTAATTCAACTGGCTCAAAGTGTATATTGAAACAAATATGTACCTTGAGAAAAATAGAGGTTATGACCACAAGAATTGTGTGAACTCAGATGATGAAGTGGACAATAATGATTATTAAGAATTCGGAAATACAGAGGGTCGTAAAGGCACATCAATTTAAGAAATTGATAAAGACCCTAGTGTCATTATTGTACCGTAACAGGGTAGGATTGACTAGGATGCAGGTTTGTGAGAAAATGAGGACAGTTTAGCTGAAGATGGAGAAATGAAGAAAATGCAAGTCATGGTTCTGATGTTGAATTCAATCTACTGAACCTTGAAGATGATGTTAAAGATAGCTCAACTGCTAAAGAGGAACTTGAAGATGAAAGAGTTCATATCTGCTAAAGAAAATAAGAAGTTAAAGGTGAATATATACAATGGACTTAATTTAAGAATGGATAAGGCATTTGGTTTTAGGAAAGTAAGCTTACCTATTTAAGAGACATATGGTAAATTAAATGTTGGATCAGTACCAAGTAAGGTTAGTGATTATGAAGCATCCAATGAAGAGTATTCATCAACCTATAGTAGCAAAGAGAGAGATTTGACTGTTACAAAGGAAGTGAAGAAGACAAAAAAATGTGTATGATCTCAATTGTGATCATAGCAAGATCAAATTCAATACTGTTATGATCTTTACTATTAAAGAATCATTGAATATTGTTGTTAAGAAATATACATTACATAATGGCTTCAATGTGACTTGGTAAAAAAGTGAAAAGTAGAAAGATTAATTTTAGAAGTGTACCTAGATGTACTTGGAGACTATAAGGTCACACTAGAGATTATTATAATGACACAATCCATTTAAATTATTGTTTTACACGGATCATCCGTTTATGAAACGAATCTATTTAAACTCAACCCTAACCCATTTATTTCATATTAGGTGAATTATGTTCCTGTGTCGTGATCTATTTTGATACTCCTAATTGTTTTAATCATCTTACAAGTTATCAAGATTTGTCCAAACATTTTGTTATTAAGAAGACAAAGGAAATTGAGAATTCTCAAGCAATGGTGTGGGTTAATTCTTTTTGTCTGATTAAAATGTTGTTAATTAGCTAGAAGTCTCCACTTAAGGATTGGGTGGGTGGCGTTGAACACTAGAGGAGTGTATTGCATAATACTATAAAGAGTGCATTGCGGGATTATCTATATTTCATGGTTACTATTCTTCTTCTTGAGACAGATAAAGTTGGAGCTATTTGGTCAAAAAGAATAGTTTAATTTTTGGCTTGTAAACTATATTTATGTTTAAATTAAAATATGACTCCCTCAGTTCTCTTTATTTAGAGAAAATTTTCTTTTTAGATGTATTTTTTTTATAAAAAATTTTACTCTAAATAATAACTTAGGGATGCAAGCCAAGTTAAAAAGGACTAGAATGCTCTTAAATTGTATGTGTTTGTTTTAAAATTGAAGCTCAACAATTAAGGAAAGTGGCAGATACAAATATTCTCAACATTTAATGTACGTGTGTTTTAAGGGACAAGTTATCTACTCACTTTTTCATTTCGTTTTATAGTAATAGTGATTGTTTATATAAATTTGGCCATAAAATTAAAGTTCTAATATTAAAAGTCAAAATAATTGCCACATAAGTACAAAGTTAACCCTTATTTATATGTTTGATGAATATATATCCACTTTATTCTTATAAATTTGGCCACCATCATTGGCGTCAGGAACGAATATATGTTAAACTTAATTAAGTTTTAAAAACGACCACGTTTTATTTTTAAAAGTACATATATGTTTTGATCATTGCAAAAGGGAAGAAATTAGATTTAGTAAGCTACTTAGCATACCATTTGTTTTTAGTAGCTGTGCAATTTTTCAATGGTTTTTCTTTCTCTTTCTCTATATTAGTTAACAATTGTAAACTTTTGTAAGCCACTTTATGATATTTTTATTATTAATCGTGCACTTCTGTTAGTCATTTTGTAGCTTTATTGTTATTACTTGTGCACTTTTTCAATAGTTATTGTTTTCTATTTGCGAATTCCTGTAAGCCACTTTGAGCCTTTTTTTGTTAGTCGTGCACTTTTGTAAGGCATTTTGAGGCTTTATTGTTGTTAGTTGTGCACTTTTTGAATAGTTATTTTTTTGCGTTAGTAATATTTGTGAACTTCTATAAGCCACTTTGTAGCCTTTTTATTATTAGTCGTGCATTTCTATAAACCATTTTTGTGGAATTGTTATTATTAATTGTGCACTTTTCAATTTTTTTTTTTTTTTGTATTAGGTAACATTTGTGAACTTCTGTAAGCCACTTTGTTTCTTTTTTATTATTAATTGTGCACTTTTGTAAGCTATTTTGTGGCTTTATTATTATTAGTTGTGTTCTTTTTCAAATAGTTATTATTTTCTATATTAGGTAACGATTGTCAACTTCTATTATAAATTGTGTACTTTTAAAATGCAGTACTTAGTGTTTTGTGGCCTATTATTTTGTTTCTGGGCACATATTATGTAAAACGTCCTTATTATAATAAAGTGTGATAAAATTAATAAAAAAGGTTGAAGTGACACCCCAAAAAATGCAAGTAGGCAATAAATGCTCTTTTTGGGAATGCCTGTTGTGTCGGCTATTCCACAATTAATGAAAAAACGAACACTTTTTAAGGAAATTTCAGGAAAAAAAAATCCACTAAACTAATTTTCTTAATCAAAGAGTTTTCTCTATTTTCTTTAAAAAAAGATAACTGAGGGAGTAATTAGAGACCATATAATAAGGGAAGAAAATTTTTTTGAAATATTAAATTTATTCTTTTACAAATTTGAGATGTTTTTTTTTTTACCAAGTCACATTTCCTTTTTATTCTTTGGGAAAAAAAATTTAAAGAGAATTTTCTATAATCAATTATTAACTTTGAATATAGTTGAAAATTTATTTGTATGGACTAATTGAAAAAGTGAAAAATAGAAAAAATTTACAATTGAGATATAAAAAGGGAAAAAAAAAGTATGATACTGACTAGTTAACATATACTATATTTTTCCTATTAGAAGTAATTGATTATCAAAGCACAGCCCTGTTATACCCATGACGACTATCAATGTATTTAATTATTGAAAAAAAAAGATACATTTTATTAGAAAAGATAAAAACATGCTCAGGATAGAACAGAAGCGGACATGAGACATGTTTGAGACGGTCACAGCAATCGAGCCAGTTGTGTTCAAGGTAAATAAACAAATCTAAAATAGCAAAAGACATTCCTTTTCTTTTATTGACAACATTTGGTCGGTTCGGTTTGTGTATCATTTCAAATTGAATTAGTACAAATCAAATATATTAAATTTTAAATTTTTACACAAGCAAAACTCAAACCGAACTAAATTATTTATAGAACCAGACAGATTAAAGCAAACTGAACTAATTACCAGGCTAAATAAATTTAGGTTAAAAATGGTTTTCAGTTTTCAATAATAATTAAACCAAACCAAAAAGATATTCTAATTATTTATAAAAATCAAAACTAAATAAAATTTCTTAAAAATTAAACCGAATCATTCCTTGGATTTTATAGTTCTACTACAGGTTGGTTTTAGGTTAGAACACCATTTTTTTTATGTGGTGCCTTTTGTTTTATTTTTTAAATACTAAAATTTATTTTTACAATGATAAGAAAACTGCCCCCAGAATGGTCCCCAGCAGCCACCGTAGGCGACGGGTTCTGTCATCCGAATGAGCAAAGCTGATTTCATTTCGTACATTAGGGGCTGGGCCAGCAGCAGCCTCAGGTAGGTCACAGACTCCAAAGGTCATGTTTGGCTGAAAATAAGAAAAAGAATAAATTAAGCATGCATTTAGTTAATCAAAATTAAAACTCCGTTTGTTTCCGTAAAATAAATTATAATAAATTATAAAAAAATATTTTTCATCATTTTTCATTATTTAGAGTGTTCAGAAAAATAAATTAATGGAAAATATTTTTCTGATCAAAGGAAAATTAAGTCAATTTTAAGGAAAATGATATTTCATTTTTAAGAGCGTAAACATTTTTCAAATTTTGATAAACTTATTATAACCTTATAAATTCATATTTTTTTAATTTATTAATTATCATTAGCCACTATCATCACTCATTATTCACCATCGGCCACCACCGTTGGCTACCGCTACCGGTCAATGAAGACTTTTATAATTTACCATTTTTTTTACATTATTTTCGTATTTAACAATAAAATTTTTAAAATACAGTTTAAATAACCTAATTTGGGCTTGATATGACTTTTATTGCGGCGGGTTAATATGTCAACAATGCCGTCAACAGTTGTAATACAATTGTGTCAAATCCAACTTGAGCCAAATTCCCATTAAAAAATTCACTACAAATAATATATGGTTTCTAAAAGTTATAAATTATATATTACCTTGCAAGAGGAAATGCTTTCACAGCCGCAAACTAGATGACCATTTGCAACGTCTGAAGCTTCTGCAGCTCCACCGCCATCACTTCTCTGAAGTGTTCATATCATATATGTAATTAGTCTCTTCTTTTTCTTTTTTTTTTTTTTTAATTCTCAAAATATTTTAGACAAAAAAGGAACAAAATAGTAATTCTTCCTTATACAAACAAATGGATTTTCCATACCTTGTAAAAGTCAACTGCAATGAAGTTAGGCCACCGTTTACCGGCTGCCGCGTAACATGTGTTCACCATATCCATTAAAGGAGCAGAATTATACTTGCAAGTTTGGGTAAAATCTGGCCTGTCAGGAAAGTGATTCACTAACACTAGAGACCTTGATGTTGTGTTCATTGCAGGTGATTCTGCCCGGTTTGGACATGAACCGGCCACCATTCCACCGTCTCCATCTATCATTTCAGTCAATTATTACTAATAATTAAAAGTTCTAATCTTTTATTGCTGTTTTTTTCAGTTCAGGGGAAAATTAGGATTATTTACAAAAAAAATAAAAAATAAAAACTCTTTATTCATTTTAGCGCACACTTTTTGGTTCGGCTATTAACTTTTGATTTATAAGCCAGTTTAAAAATAAGTAGTTAAATGCAGTTTGCTATTAACTTTGACAGCCTTACTACTAAAATGCATATTAAATAAAAAAAAAGTTCGGGCTTTTAGTAATTAACCTGCAAAAGTAATACTCACATTGGTTTTCTACTACATATCTCCATTCATAGGCAATTCCTTCAGAAGCTTCCTTAGATGACTTTGAAGTAAAAACCACCAAACGCTGATTCTTCTGGACCATATCATCAACAGTAGGCCAATTTCCGCCATTTTTGGGCATTCGAGATACAGGAAACCAGTATTTCCTCAAGCCAGCAGCATCAAACACTTTTGTCAGGCCATTCGGCGATGAAACATAGTCTTCAATTATAATGGTAACAATTTCTGATGGATTTGCCTCCAAAAATACTTGAATCTCTTTCAAAACATTGATGGCTGGTTGCTGGAATATCAACATTTAAATTATCATTATTCAAAATCTTCTAACTAAAAATTTAATTTCATATTTCAAGAATCTGAATTTAGACATGATTGTATGGAATTTAAAATGGTATGGAGGTGTAGTGGTGGACATGACCACGGTTTTAAAACTGCCGATTTCAATTTAAAAACCATCAGTTCCGGTTATAAAAAAGGTGAAACTGAAACGGAGCCATTTTTAGATGGTTTCTATGATGGTTTTGAAACAGCCGGTTTCGCTTTTATTTCGACTTTGAACTGAAATTAGATAATTCATTTCAAGTTTTAAAAAATTCTTTTTAAGATTTGTATCTTGAATAAATAATAATAATAAATATTACTATTAAAAAACTAAACCAATTTAATAAAAATTCTTAAAGTTAATTTAAAAAAATTATACTAAACAAAAAGAACAAATTGAAAGTTCCTAACTTCTTTTTCACAATTTCAAACCGAAATCGCCAGTTTTAAATTAAAATCACCGGTTCCAGTTTCAAATGAACTAGAACCGAACCTTAAATATACGATTTATTTGAAACTATAAACTGTTGACCATAGTTTAGAGTAGTTTTGATCGATATTGTTTCAATTTGATTCTAGTTTGAAACTGGACCGTGATCATGTCCATGTAGTAGGGTCAATTTCTTCAATACTTACAAAAGCTGTAAAGTTGTAGCATTTTCCTCCAAAGGAATGACACAACCAAATGTCATTTTGAAAGTCATACATATCTAACATCAACCCTCTCACTCCATTCTGCAACGCAAAACAAAACTACCTCTTAGTAAATGTTAAACAGACAAAGAACAAGTTGCGTATTGACAATTTCAAATATACCAACTCATAGAGAGAAATTTCAAAAAGAATAATTATCCAATGGCTTTACAACACATTCATCTACAAATCAAATCTGACAATTGATGTGCTCAGTGAGCTGGTTCGATATGTCTTCACTTATCTACCTTTTCTTCTATCTAACTCATTAAAGTAACATGCATATAACATATATATTATTTTTCTCATTGGTTAGAAATTTCCTTTGAGGTTACCAAACAGATTCCAACAAAGTTGTATATTATAAACAAAATATGCTTTTGAAATAATCACATTTGAACAAATTAAAGCAAACAGTACATTAATTAGAACCTTTCCACCCAAAGGTGGACCTTTTCAACATATGACCTCAACTCAAGGAACCTTCCTTCAGCTATTATATTCCACAGTAATATATTGCATTTCTTAGGAATTTTTCTGTTCTTTACTTTAAGATTAAATTAAGGTTGTTTTCAGAAAAGAAAAATGGTACTAAGACAAAGAATAATCATAGTCATTCATGGCATTTGTAAAAGATGGTAGGTGAGTGCTCTTTCACATATAGCCAACTCCAAACAGATAATGTGTACATCAAAATAAATAAACCTAGGTGTATGTCTCTGTTTTATATCAGTAAACAAAGACTTGGCAGATTTTCTCTTTTCTCAAGCAAGGGAATTTTCTTGAGAAAAACATTTTTACTAACAAGGGTAACCCTAATAGTTGTATCACTAATCTATATTTTATATATGTGTATATATATATATATATATATCAAATAACTAATAATCAACATGATATGTTTAAAGCAGAGAGAAAATTGTATACAATACGACAAATAATTTTTCTGACTCTAGTAATATAAGGAGTCTCGTGAGCTAGGGATAAGCTTTTTCTAATAAACACCTTACAAGAATAGATGTTATTTGTAGAATTTGTCAACCATAGTCTAACATCAATAGACTATTTCCTTCATCATCATGCTATCATCTATAATATTAAAAATGGTTGCAAATTGCAATTGGTATTTACCATTTTAATAAACAAGAAGGTTTAACTAATCCAAAGTTGTTGAAATTAAAATACAAAATGAAGTTTTCAAAGGCCAAATTAAGAACAAAACTCCAAAACCCAAGTGGCCAAAATCTAAACAACAAAATCACTTAATTGCCACTCATCATCATAAATTGATATTCAAGTCACATAAGGAAATTTATGTTTTAAAACACCAAACCTTTACCTTCCAGCAAAACAAAACCAACATTCCCATATGGAAAAGCAACAATAGCACAAACAATATATATTTATTTTCTCAACAGCCAAACAAAAAGTGAAAAAAGAGAACAGAACATACATTGAGCTGTTCAGTAATGGAGTCCTGTTGGTTCATAGGTGTTAAAAGTACAGACCCAGTAGCTGACCTCACTCCCAATTTGGCAAACGAATTATGGGTTGTAAGCCACGTGTACCGATTGAAAGGCAACCCCTTTACCTAATCAAACCAAGAACCTAAAACAATTAGCAGAATTACACAGAAAGCTGCATATTATATACAAATTCCAAAATTTGAAACACAAAATTCTACCTTTGAAGTTGGGTTAATGGGCTGAATTCTTGTGCAACGTGGCCTTGCATTTCCATTTGCTAAACAAGTTTCACAGTGTAACCCAGAGTCACAATTTCTATTTGCTACACATGTTTGCCCCTCCTGAACATATTAACAATTTTATATACTATCTTAATTCAAATTAAGAAAATAAGAAGAACCCATTTAAGGAAAGGGGAAAATACCTTGAGGGAGGTGGAGAAAGTGAAGAGAAAAGTTGCAGTGAAGAGAAAGGCAAACAGGATGGGTCCCTGCAAGTGAAAAAGCTGAGTTAGTTTCCGCTAATTTGAAAGAAAGAAGAAGAAGAAGAAGAAGAAAGGGAAACTAAAAAAGAGATAAAAGAGGGAGTGGGAAGGTAAGTAGTTGCCTGGAATTGCATTATGGTGTGTGTTTATGGCAAACTGTAAGTGTTGGAGTCTGGTGCTATGTCTATTGTCGTTTGGTTATGGAGTTTTTGTTGGTGTAAATGTCATTTCAATCCAAAATGGGTTGAAATGATAGGAATCTTTATTTCTGGTTTAGAATGTGATAATTGAAATGAAATGGATGGAGGGAACGTACGATTTATATACGTAGAACATTGGCTGGAAGCTGGAGATGGAGAATGAATGTACAATTTTAAAATAAAGGTGATGTTTGGTGATTTATTTTTTAAAAAGACTAGAAAGTCAATGGCATTTTTCAAATCCAGGCTTAAAATTAAGGCTGCTCATTCTACTCGATCCGATTTAGATCTGTTGGGTAAAATCCGATCCAATTATAAGTGGAGCAGATATATTCAATTTGATATGAGCCTACCCAAATTCAACTTGGTTTATTTTTTTCTTTAAAAAGTAGATTATTTTTATTTATTTTATGTATATTAATCCAAACCCAAATTCAAACCCTAACTCGATCCGATTTAATACTGAGTAAATACTCTTATCAATTTTATTTTTCATTGACAGATTGATATGAAAATTATGAAACCTACTTGAACCCAATCTATGGTTATATGTCATTATAATCTTTGTATTTTGAGAGCTCTTCTCTTATTCTACGTGCGGCTACATATGAGTTTTCATCGGTAGTCATTCCTCTTCTTTTTGTGTTGCTTTTTTTTAAATGATCATTAAATTTGTATATTTTTAATATAAATCTGAGTTATAATTGTTCAAATATTAAGATTTATTGTTGCTCATATTTTGAGATTTTTATTTTCAAATATAATTCTGAATTATTATTGTCATCGTGTTAGATCGACTTACAGAAAGATTATGAAATTGAATAGTAATCGAAAAACCACCAAGTGAAACAAACGGCCGCTTGTGGTATATATTTTATGAAGCAAATGGTTGCTTGTGGTATATATTTTATGCTTTGTCAACTCGATATGTATATCTTCTCTTTTTAATAAAATTTCTAATTGGATTTATTCTAAAAAAAATCATTCTATTTTGCAATTGTCTCGTCAAAGAAGTATCCTTGGATTGTAACTAGAAGAAAGAGGGCTGCGTGCAGTTTTTACTTTCTTTCTTTCTTTCTTTCCTTTTATTTTATTTATTTTTTATTTTTTGAAAATTGAAAAAGTGTAACTAACTAAATGATAAATGTTAATATTTTATTGGTTTAAGTACTTCAAATCTCAACTTGTAATGTGTATTTAAATTTCAGTGAAATCATTATTTTTTTTAATAAAAATATTAAATTTAATTAATTAATTTCAATGTTAATTAGTATCTGACTTAATTTTAGTCATTTAAAATTGGAAGGAACCCGCTATGTATTTTTTTCTTTTTTAGAATAAAAAAGAAAACTACTAACAATAATTGAAATCCTAACAACCCAACAAAGTACGTCAAATGCGTCCATAGCCTTAAAATATTTTTAGGGGATGATGGGGAAAGGTTCCAACAATGGGCCCCTCCCCATTAACAAAAAAAAAAAAAATTAAAAATTTACCTCTATATTTTTTAAACTTTTTAATTTTATTTTAAAAATCGTTTATCTTTTTATTTTTTGTTTCTTCATCTTTAAAACATTTATTCGTCCTTTAATTCTTAATTTTGGCTCCACAAATTAAATGTATAATTTTTCTATCTGTAATCTATAATATATACTTCCTTTATCCTCAAATACTTATCACATTTGAGAAAGTATTATGTTCTCAAATAGTTATCACATTTATGGATTTAATAAATAATAAATTTTATTCATTTTTATCCTTTGTATATGACCAATAGTGGTTGAATGTTTTTTCATTCAAATAATAAATTGAAGGTAGTATAGTTAATTCATTCAATAATTTATTGTAATTTAGACAAATTGAATATTTTTTAAGAGATGTGAAATACCCATATCTGATAAATATTTGGGAACGGATGGAGTATAAAAGTGGGAGTGGGTGAGGGGAATATTCAGATTGCAAAAAATGTTCCAACTAAATTTATCGATTGAAAATATCATTAGGCACTTTAATTTTATTAGTTGAAAAATAAAGGTAATTTAATTTTGATTGATTGTTAATTTCATATTTAAATTTAAATTCTATTGGATAAAATAAGAAATTATATTATACAATATGTAAGGTATATAAATTCCAAGATGGTAAGAATATAACACCTTTAAAGATTTTAATTTTATTGATTGAAAAATAAAGGTAAATTAATTTTGATTGTTATATTTTACAATATAAGGTACATATTTAGATATCAAGAATGCAATATATTTAATTATTTTCTAATAAATCTTTAATTTGATGATTATAATTATTTTTTACAAGTAATTTATTATACAAATAATTAATATAATTTATTATTGTTTATCAAAGAATATATTTCCTTGATTCGTCTCAACCTCAATGGAAGAATGGCAATTGCATTAGCTGTAACGACTATGTCTTTCATACTTTTGAAAATGATAAATTCATTGGCAAATAATTATATACATTTTTTCAACTAATGCAATATAAAAATTTATTATTTCGATCGACACAAATATAAAAGTTAACATTGATTTCTCGTTTTTTAATAATATAAACATTTTATAATATTATATCGTATACGAGAATGTTAATTTAAATTGATTGATAAGTAATTTTATTTTTATGAAAATTTGTAAAATAGTTTTTCTTTGGTTGATTTGTGGTATTATTTCCTTAATTTATTTGAATCTCAATGGAAGAATGACAACTGCATTAAACTCATTGGCAATATAATTACATAATTTTTAAAGCTAATTGGACAATACAAATTTATTATTTTGACCAATAAAATATAGAAGCTAATATCGGTTTCTCATATTTTAATAATATAGATATTTTATAATATTATATCGTATATGAGGATGTTAAATTAACTTGATTGATAAGTAATTTTATTTTTATGAAAATTTAAAAATTAATTCTTCTTTGATTGATTTGTGGTGTTATTTTTTTCAATTCATTTGAACTACAATGGAAGAATGACAATTGCATTGGCTGTAATGAGCTTGTTCTTCATGCTTTTATAAATGAAAAATTCATTGGCAATACGCTTATATACGTTTTTTTTAGACTAATGCAACAATAAAAATATATTATTTAGATTGATAAAATATAAAAGCTAATATTGATTTCCGGTATTTTAATAATATAGACATTTTATTATGTTATATCATATACGAAAATATTAAGTTAAATTGATTGATAAGTAATTTTATTTTTGTAAAAATTTGGTAATTAAATTGTAATAATATTTATAAATAAAAGTTATTAAATAATTAACTTTATTTTATTATTACATATATATTTTTTTAATTTTTTGAATGTTGTTAGATTCTTAGTTATATAAACTATAATGATTATAATTTGCAATAAAAATTAATAGAAAATTATATGTATAAATTGATGAAAAACTATATATAAAAATTTAATTAGATTTATTAAAACAAGCACAATATCAAAGAGTACAAATAACATGCAACACATATTTGAAAAAACTAGTATATAAAGGGAAAATTATTATTTCGTCCCTGAGGTTTTACATAATTATTTAGGTAGTTCTCGACATTTATACATATATTTATAACGTCCCTGAGGTTTGCAAAACTATATATTAAAATTTTTACATTTAGATTCTATAAAACAAGCACAATACTCAAAGAGTACCAAATAACATGCAACACATATTTGAAAAAACTTAGCTATATAAACGGGAACAATTAATTATTTCGTCCCTGAGAGTATTTACATAATTATTTTACGGTAAGTTCTCGAAATTATACATATATTTTATAACTTCCCTGGGTTTGCCACCGTCAGTATTAATTGTCCTTCCGCTGAAAAAAATCAATTTTCCGTTAATTTTGAGAAGAAAAACGAATTATCCCTTTGGAAAAAATACATTATTTCGTTCCTGAGGTTTGCTTGCCATATATATAAAGTATGCCGCTTTACATCTATCACCAATCATTTCATACGTCCTGAGGTTTACTCTCGTCATGATTAAATTGATCCTTCCCATAAAAAAAATACATCCTTTTCGTTAATTTTGAGTGGAAAAACAAATCATCCTTTATAAGTTTTGCATTGACACTTTATATAATCTCCTATTCCTCTACCATACCTAAACTCACATTTTCATCATCTTTCTTCAACCCAACGTATGTCATTCGATTGCCACCACCGATGTCAATGAAACACTAATCATAATCCCATAAAACAGATCACTACCAAAACTAAAACACAAACATCAAAACTCAATGCAAAAGTCTCAATATCTTCATCATTATCGCTCTCTCTCGGATTTAGAGGTCTTAGGCATCAGTTTGGTCATATCTATTAAAATTAACCAGCAAAGTATGTTTTTTCGGACGGAAGGACCAAATAGATATGACGGAAGTAACCTCAGGGACGTTATAAAGTATTTGTAGTAAATGGTGGAGGACTACTTAATCTTATAACTTATGGCAAACTCAGAGACGAAAATAATTATCTTTTCCCTCTTTAGTATTTGGTGATTCTGATGTATGGAATGTACTGACAGGAGACACGGTGTAGGTGGCAATGAAGACTGCGTTGGTGGAGGAAGATGGTGAAACTTTGAGTTTCAGGATTTTAGAGGAAACGAGATTGAGACAATCAATGTCCAATGAAACTTAAAACGGATAATATTGCGTCTTTTCACTCAAACATTGACGCGAGAAAAGTGTTTTTTTTTTTATGGAAGGACCAATTAATATTGACAGCACAGTTCAACCTCAGGACGTTATAATATTTTGTATAAATTTCGAGGATACTTAATAATGCTATTAGCAACGCTCAGGGACGAAAGGACTACTTAATAATTATAGCAAACCTCAGGGACGAAATAATTATTTTTCTAAAGGATAATTTCGTCTTTTCCTCTCAAAATTAACGAAAAAAATGTATTTTTTTGACAGAAGGACCAATTAATATGACGGTGGCAAACCTCAGTGACGTTATAAATATATGTATAAATATCGAAGACTACCTAAATAATTATGTAAAACCTTAGGGATGAAATAATAATTTTCCCATATATAAAAGTAGGAATGAGAGAGGGAACATTAGGATTGCCAAAATGCGCCTACTAAGTTTATGAATTAACACAAATAT